GTATACTTGATTATATATATTTTTTAAAATGAGGAAGAAAAAGATAAATATACGACGAAATACCGTAACAGGAAAGGCATTTACGAGGATGTTTTACAATTGTGAAAACAGTCGCAGCTGTAGCAACGGGATTTCGACAATTAAACTTCGATGACCATCAATCATTTCCCGTTTTTCGTCCGAGTAAAGTGTAAGTCATTAAGAAGGGTGAAACTCCCGTTGATGAATTTAACACGCGGCTACAGGTCTGTTTTTACGAAACACCTAAGGAAACATTTCATGGGCTGTTTCCTGAAGCAATTAATCAGTTTCCTCCAGCATTCAGGAAATCCTTGTTTTGTCTTCGTTTTTTTTCTCGTCACACAAAAACGACACTTGCTTCTGCAGAATGTGTATTCACACAGACTACAGATATTTCATTAAACATGTGAGAAAATTTGAAATTTTCTAAACTATACCTATCTTTGCTCGTTATTATTTATCATTATCATAAATTTTGTTCATTCACATCAATTCGTGTACAAAAACATGTATTTTATTTTCTGTCCCAAAACATTGATGCCCAGTGATTCTATTCGATTTTGAGAAATGATACACCGCATCATACCCAGAGATTTCCCACCATACGTTTCTCGTCGCAGTAAATTCATTTCTGTAGACCGTTGCCCAAATTCTCCCATTTCCCCACTTGTTGTAACCGAACCGAGAACACCTTAACGTCAAATAAATATCTCTAGTCCGTTCACGTTGAAACGAGGGGTCCAACCAGCATCACGAACGACACGGGAGGATGAAGTATTCATCGAGAACCCGGCCGCTCCTTTCGTGACCGGAGACCACGTGCAGTCACACGGCAATAACTCTAAAATTTGATTGCACCGGGCATCGGGGTTGTCTACCCCTCCAGGCAACGTCATCGTAATGGGCGCTCAACCCTTGCATCGGCATCGACACCCACGCCTATTTACGCACACCAGCGCGAGGCCTGGTAGCGTCCCCACGAAGAAGGCAGCACCACGTCGTAAATAAAACCGAAAATTGTCGGAGTTCGGCCGCTGCGTTCGGCTTTTGGCTTGGTTTAAACGTTAAACAAAAGGCCCACGGTGATGTCGGCCGCCGCGCCGTATCTTTGATCTCTGTTTGCCAACGCATGTATCAGCGCCGCGAGATAATCGGAAATAATTATTTGTTAGATAAATATTACGATCGCATCCGGCGATAGGAAGCCAAATTTATGGTGGACCCGCTTGCGCGCAGCTTGTAAATGACGCGAGGAGAACCAGCTCGCGCCGTTCCCCGCCGAATCCCCGCAAATCTTGCCTGTATAAAACAAAACTTCAATCTCATCCCCCCCCCGCTCTCTGTTTCTTTTCATTTCATTTTATATGCCCCACGCGTACCTGGCAGCTTGTTCGTAGTTTATGGGACCACGGCGTGCCGCGATTTGAATTTCTAATTGATACGAGTCTTGTTAATGATCCTCTCGAGAAGGCTCGACCGAAGTCCATGCGAAGAAATATGATCTGGACTCGAGAACCGGGCTCTATTTGACCACACTTTTTAAACTCTGGAAGAGCGGAGATACAAGCAACTAAAAAGTCTTCGCTCAAATAGACAAAGTTATTAAACGACGTGCCTCTATCAGTACCACCGACGCTGCAAAATACCTCATTATTGTCTTGCTAGGTGCACCTTTCTCACATAAACTAGAATCTCGACCAATTACAGCGTACATCCGTAATTACACTGCATCCATTTCGCTTGCGCATGAAATCCATGATGATCAGCGCGTGAAATCCGCGCGCGTAGGCGATCGAAGCGTTGCGTGCCGCTGCTGACGCTTGCGTAACGACAGGATAGCCTCGACTCGATCGAACACCCTCTCCGATGGATTGTGTCTCTTTCGCACAGGAGATGACCTCTGAATTGTTTGATGGCACCGCATTCTTACCGTAGCCTACGTGCAATCGTGGTAATTATAGAATATATCCGAGAAAAAATCATGAAATCGTATATCCAATACTTAAACTTCATTTGTACGTTAAGATTTTATGAGAAAAATGGTATGAATTCAATTTAGAAGGATATTATTAATTAAGATTTATCTCTATGTCATTATTAAGTATATAAATGAACAGAGTACACAAATGGGAAGAGGAAAAGGCGCTGCAGTTGAGAATAATTAAGCTTTAGCCGCGATTGTAGGCTGAAGCATGTAAGTGTAGTTCGCTCCTGTGCAACTTATGAAATGTTTGTTGCGAAACATGAGCTCGGATGCACCTTTCTCACGGCTACGTAAGTATAGTACGCGAATGCTAAACTGCCGGAGTTACTCGAAAGTTATAGCAGCTAGTATGATACATACATGTCTTAATTAACGTACCGGATTATACGTTCACGTTCACTGGTGCAAACTTTTTGGAGAAACTTACAAGTATACTTTTTTCTTTAGAAGAAATTAAATCATTTTATTAACCGTTTTCGTTGAATCATCTTCATCC